TTCCTGGCACCTGGGTTTAGCCTGGTCCAGCCCCAGCCAAAACAGCCATTTGGCGAGTGAACCAGTGGATGGAAGATCTCTCTCTCTCTTTCTCTCTCTCTTTCATTCAAATAAATAAATTTTTTAAAACTAAGTAACTTGTACTTCTTGAGTCTTCAGAAGTCTGTCTACTCTTGTGAACTAATTGAAGATCTCAAATATCTCTTCAAAAAGCAAAAGGATAAGTAAGGTCTTTCCTTTTGTCTTATCAAGGCTGTAGCACTTTATGGCAGACATGTTTTACCTACCTCTTCTCCTGATGTTCTCGGGTAGTTGCTATTGGCAGGAAAACTCTTTAGTGAGTTATTCTATCATCATACTGGATGACCCTCTTATATATCATGAAGTTATTTTTTAACAATATGTTTATTGCTTGGGCTAGCCTAGCCTACACTTCAGGCCAGCTTTTACAGCTAGCATTCAAGTCTGTGGATGCTCTATCTATAGTTATGGACAACTGACTAGCCTTGGAGTATATACTGATATATCAAAAGGAGTATGTGTAGTAATTAATAGAATCTTCCACATGTACTCTAATATGTTTGTTTTCATTGAAAAGGATATCAGAGGGCCTGGCACTGTGGCATGCACTAAATTATTCCTCCGCCTGTGGCGCCGGCATCCCATATGGGTGCCAGCACTAGTCCTGGCTGCTCCTCTTCCAGTCCAGCTCTCTGCTGTGGCCTGGGATAGCATTGGAGGATGGCCCAAGTGCTTGGGCCCCTGCACCCATGTGGGAGACCAGGAAGAAGCTCCTGGCTTCTGGCTTCAGATCAGCACAGCTCTGGCCATTGTGGCCATTTGGGGAGTGAACCAATGGAAGGAAGACCTTTCTCTCTCCTGTCTCTCTCTCTCTCTCTGTAACTCTGTCAAAGGAAGGAAGGGAGGGAGGGAGGGAGGGAGGGAGGAAGGAAAAAGAAAAGAAAAGAGAAAAGAAAAGAAAAGGGAAGAAACGGATATTAGAAATTTTGATGGCCAAGCTTGACTGTTTTATAATCCATGCAGAGATAATCTAGCACTACCTACTATTGGAAAACAATAGAATATAATTTTCCTTTCTTAAAAGGGATTACACCTGTACTTTATCTTTTTCCAATTATGCTCATCCTGATTGATAAACTTCCTGTTTCATAACTTAACAGCTTGTCAGACTAATGATGATCATGTGTGGGTGACAGCCATTGGCAGTGACTGCTGAAAACCGTCTAGCTTATGAGATGGATACATTATGTGAGATAGGTAGAGGTTTCCAAACCTGGGACAGGAAAGAACCATGACCCTGATCATCAGGAAGTAGTTACAGAAGATAGAATTTCATCTTTCAACACCCCATTGAAATTAAGAGTCAGAAATCTCTGAAAGGGAAATGATATAGGACAGGTAGGCAGCTAGTTAGGTCTGCAGAGTTTGAAGTCACAAACTCCCAGCTCCGGCTTCATGTACCTTGTCAATTAAAACACCCATGATGCATCTATATTGCATATGGGACTGGAGCACATATGACGTAAACAGGCCAAACATGAGACAGAGCTCTCTTTCACCATGGACCTCATTGGAAGTACTGCTCCCATCATTTCAGCATTCAGATGGGAGCTTTACAACTCCGCCACCCTCTCATTCTCAGAAAGACATTCCCAATTACAGGTACCCTTTTCAGTGTTTCTTTTCTTCCTATTTTATGGGCAATACGTTAGCACCCTCATGTTGTATATTCTTCTATGTATGATGGCCTATACTCATATGTGAATGTAATTATTACCCCACTGCCAAATAAACTCTGTTCCTATTTCCATACAGTACCAGTCTTCACTTAGTATTTCTATTTCTGTGGGAGACAACAACCTTGATTAAAAAGTAATAAATTCGTTGCCCACATTAGAATCAATGTAATCAAATGACTCCCTTAGGCCATTAAGAGGAAAACAACTTGGAGCTGGACTAACAGGAGGCAATTACTAAACTGAGCCGAATTCCTTAGTTCTGCTCTTGGCATTGAGGTATGGAAACTCCAGAGTCCTATAAGAGGTCTTAAGGAAAAACATGTTCAACACAAATATCAGGGATCAAGGTTTCTCGTTAAAAATACATTTTAGGAAATGTTTTCAGTTAACTTGATAGGAAACATTAATGGCAAGGAAACATGAGATATTTGGCAAATTGAGACCTTCATTTCTCTATGAAAACAAAAAACATAATTAAAAATAAAATTTAAAAAAACAGTCTGGAAGAATATTTTGATTATTTTCTAATTAAAGTTCAATAATTAAGGTTTTGCTAGTGAGCAAACAACATTTTTTTCTCTCTCTTTCCATAAAGGTCTAATATAGGCAAGAAGATTTGATAGGTCTGCTACATAAAGCTGGAAGTGACCTTGGACAATCTAATGTGACTAAGAAATTTAGCTTTTCTCCTTTTTAAAAATTGGAAACAGAAACCAAATCATATTTATTTCTATTCTCCTTAATTCTTGTGTGTGTGTGTGTGTGTGTGTGTGTGTGTATCTATGTGTGTTTTCTTTCAGGGACCTTGGAAACTTTATGTCTGTAGTATTAGCATAGTTGAGACAAAATTTGGGATTTTTTTTCCTTTCAAGGTACCCTAAATCACCTTCTGGTACATATGTAAGGGCTCAACAAGTTTTTGATCTTGATCCATGACTCTTTTTCTCCATCATCATACCTACAGTTATCTTTTGCTGTGAAACACACCACTCCAAAGCCAAGTGGCCAGTCTCTAAGTTCCTTTTCCTTGCTCACAATTTGAAGTCTGGGCTGTGCTTAGCTGGGATATTCTTCCATTTGTCTTTCAAATAGTCACTTGCTTAGATTTGTCCAACTGGTAAGTCAGTAGAATCCTAGTGTTGGCTGGGACACTAGGATTTTTTTTTAAGTTTTGTTAAGATTTACTTAGTTATTTGAAAGGCAGAATTACAGAGAGGCAGAGGTCGGGGAGGGGTCTTCCATCCACAGATTCACTCCCCAAATGGCTGCAACAGCCAGAGCTGGGCTGATCTGAAACCAGGAGCCTGGAGCTTCTTCTGGGTCTCTCGCACAGATGCAGGGGCCCAAAGATATCCCTATGGGATGTCAGCTTTGCAGGTGGCAGCATTACCTACTATGCCACAGCACCAGCCTCAAGGTATATGTTTTTTTTTTTCTTTCACTCCATACTGTTAGGACCTTGCCTTTCTACTTTGCTTTACTTGTGGCCTTGCCAGTTGGCTTCTCCAGCAAGGTAACAAATTTCTACATGGCAACACAGAGTTCCCAATAGCACAAAAAACAGAATTGGGGATGCAGCATCACTTTTGTAATATTCTGTCGTTTAGAAAACTAGTCCCAACTCAGGTTAAAAAGAGATAACTATACAGGGACAAATACTGAGAAATACCAACCATTTCAGAATAGCAGTGCAGCATTGTCATATAAATGGGGTTACCTTAATGTTTGTCAACATTGGAACCACCAATTTCCCTTCCTTATACTTTTATCTCCAGTTCTTCTGTCCTATTGTTTCTATACTTTCTCCTACCATTTCTCAGCTTTTTGTATCGTAACTGCACTTCCTCATCCATTCCTAGAAAATAGATTCCCTAATTTCCAGGTCAGTGAGCAGAATGAGCACATATCAACTTGATTCTTCAGATGGCCAGTCTTTGTAGCTCAGATGCAGTATTGACAGAGATTCCTTCGCATTGGTTGTTGTTTGTTTTTGTTCTAAGGTTACACCTGAATTCAAAAGAGGAAGTTTTGAAGAGGACAACACTGCATACAGGAGCACCTTACATGAATATGCTTACATGCTTTGCCTTTATCAATAGAATCTAGAGTCGGATTTTCCTCCTTAGATTTATCTTCACTAAGGTAAAATGCATGAGTCAACAAATCCACATGTTACATGTTTCACTTAAAAACCCCATAGCAGTCATTCACCAGGACAGAGCGGTCTAAGAGGCCTGTAGGAATCAGATAATTCCTGGCCTTACAATCCCAGTTCATATCAGGCTGCTTCTTACACATGGCTAAGATGAGATCAAATTTCCACTGAATCATTCAACCTGTCTGATCACTGTTTTTTGCTGTCAGAAGAAATTCAAGAGTACTGAAAGACAAGGCCAGAAGTACCAAGGAAGGAAAAAAAAAAAGGTGGGAAAAGAGGGTTTTTATTTTAAGTATTTTATTTATTTGAAATGCAGAATGAGAGAAACAAAATGAGAATGAGAATGAGAGAGAGACAGAGAAAGAGAGAGACAGAGAGAGAGACAGAGAGAGGAAAGGAGGGAGGGAGGGAGGGAAGGAGAGAGGGAGGATCTTCCACATGCTGGTTAACTCCCCGAAAAAGGCAGAACTGCTGAGGATGGCCTAGGGTGAAACCAGGAGCCTGAAATTCTCAGGTAAGTTCCAAGGGTCCATATTTTGAAGCTTTTGCAGGTGCATAAACAGAGAGCTGGATCAGAAGCAAAGTAGCTGGGGTCCACAGATGGTAGCTTAATCTACTGCATCACAACACTGGCCCACCCCCTCATATGGTCAAGATTTTTGCAGAAAGCGATTATGGGTTTTCATTTGTAATACTATGGGATTGAAATGAAAGTTAAAAGTTGAAATGCAAATTATCCTTCAAGATCTATTCTTTAATTACCCTTAAAATCCTTTTAATATGCTTATCTTTAAAATTTTTATTTATTTCATTTATTTGAGAGACAGAGAGACAGTGATACAGAATTCATATCTCCTGGTTTACTCCCTAAATAAATAGGGTTGGGGCTGAGCCAGGCCAAAGCTAGAAGCTGGAAACCTAATCCAGATTTCCCACATAGTATCAGGGATCCAAGTAAAATGACCCAACACCTGTTGCATCCCAGGGTTCACAGTAGCAGGAAGATGGACCTGGAAATGTGGTCAGGACTCCAACACAGTCACTTTGATATGGGATGTAGCCACTTCAACCAGCAAGTTCACCTGTCAAATGACTGTCCTGATTTTGTTCATTGTTGTTTCTTTTATTCTGTTCTGCAGGGTTAGTCATTGGATCCTTGATTGTTGGATTACATCTCCACCAGACATTCAGGTGAAAAACTGAAAAAGAATTGCATTTGACTATTTATACATCTAAATTGTTCAAGTGAAAGAAGCAACTGAGATTAAATGCCTTTATTATTACTTAGGAACAAATCAATGGTTCTACTCTTTATCTGTCATCACAAACCTCAAAAGTTGAGGGAATATGTACATATATGTAAATTCATTACAACTCTGATTGGCTTTCTGAGCCAGCTTGACTGAGTATAGGATGCCCAGATTCCTGGTTAAACATTATGTCTGAATAAGTCTGTGAGGGTGTTTCAGGGACAGCTTAGCACTTTCTTGGTGGACTGCTTAAAGCAGGAGGCCTTCTCATCTAATCAGTCAAGGTCTTAAGTAGAACAAAAAAATGGGGAAAGGTTGAATTAAGTCTCTCATTCCCAGAGCTTAGAAACTGATCTCCTGGGGCTGGTGCTGCGGCGCAGCAGGTTGACGCCCTGGCCTGAAGCACCGGCATCCCATATGGGCGCCAGTTCTAGTCCCGGCTGCTCCTCTTCCAATCCAGCTCTCTGCTATGTCCTGGGAAAGCAGAAGATGTCCCAAGCCCTTGGGTCCCTGCACCCATGTGGGAGACCCAAAAAGGGCTCCTGGCTCCTGGCTTTGGATTGGCGCAGCTCCGGCCACTGTGGTCAATTGGGGAATGAACCATCAGATGAAGGACCTCTCTCTCTCTCTCTGCCTCTCCTTTCTCTGTGTAACTCTGACTTTCAAATAAATAAATAAATCCTTAAAAAAAAAAAAAAAGAAACTGATCTGTCCTCTGCAGTCCTGGTTCTCAGGTCAGACTCAGATTAGAATCTACATAATAAGGTACCTAGTTTAGGCCTTCAAACCACACCACTGTTGGTCCTGGTCTCCACTGTGCAAATGGTGGATTCTGGGACTTCTTGGCCTTCATAACTGAGTGAACCAATAACTTATCTATCTATAGATATTTTTAAAAATATCTATTTATTTGAAAGGCAGAAATACAGATATAGAGACAGATACCTTAGGTCTACTGGTTTACTCTTCAAGTGGCTGCAATGGACAGAACTGGTTCAGTTCGAAGTCAGGAAGCTAGAATTTCATTCTGATCTCCCTTGTGAATGGCAGTGATCCAAGCACTTGAGAAATGTTCAGCCGCTTTCCCAGGTGCATTATCAGTGAGCTGGATTGGAAATGGAGCAGCAAGGACGTGAAACTGGACTCCAATGTTGGATGCCAGTGTTGCTGGCAGTAGTAGCTTTAACCCACTGCACCACAAAGCCAGGCCCTAAATAACTATCTCAGATATATCTGGAGAACCCTAATACAACCTGAAGTGACTGATACAAAATACTATTAAAATTTTATGAAAATTTTGGAGAACCTAATTAGATTCAGTGGTTCTAAGGAAGAAACAATAGAGGAATTAAAAAAAACTAAATAGAAAATATAGGCAATGAGATAGTACCAAAGTAAAAACTTAAGAATATTATAAAGTTTTGATAATTAACATAAGCCGTTACTGGAATAAAATACAAATACAGAACATAGAGTAGATAGCACAGAAAGCAAGTTTGTTCAATATAAGAACTTGCTGGAAAATGAAAGTGACATCACCAAAAAGGAAGAATTATTCACTATTTTGTATAGGAATGACTGAGTAGGAATTTAAGGGAAATAAAATTAATTAAGCTCATTCCTCATAGTGGATAAATAATGAATCCTACATAAATCAAAAATGCATTTTGTGTGGCAGCTAAGATGCTACTTGGAAAACCTGCATCCCTGCCTGGATTTGGATTAGGAGTCTGCTTCAAATTCCAGCCCATTAGAGGCACCCTGAGTCAGCAGGTGATGGCACAAGTATTTGGGGCCATGCCACCCACACAGGAGCCTCAGATTGAATTCTCAGCTCCTGCTGTCAGCCTGGTGCAGCCCTGGCTGTTGCTGGCATCTGGAAAGTGAACTAGCAAATGGAAGATCTCTCTCTCTGCCTTTCAAAAAAAATTTTAAATTTCAAATGAAAATGAAAACTGATTTGACATAGATACAAAGCATCCTTTTCAAACGCCCAAACTAGATAGTAGATATGTAACTCAAAAAAAAAAAAAAAAAAAAAAAAAACAAGAATGGGGACGGGGCAGAGTGTAGCCGATAAGCTACTGCTTAAGAAGCCCTCATCCCACATCAGAGAACGGTGCACATCCAGACTATGCGGTTCTTTTTATTTTTTTTTTAAAGGCAGAGTGGACAGTGAGAGAGAGACAGACAGAGAGAAAGGTCTTCCTTTACCTTTGGTTCACCCTCCAATGGCCGCTGCAGCCGGCGCACCACGCTGATCTGAAGGCAGGAGCCAGGTGCTTATCCTGGTCTCCCATGGGGTGTAGGGCCCAAGCACTTGGGCCATCCTCCACTGCACTCCCTGGCCACAGTAGAGAGCTGGCCTGGAAGGGGGGCAACCGGGACAGAATCCCGCGCCCCGACCGGGACTAGAACCCGGTGTGCCGGCGCCGCTAGGCACAGGATTAGCCTATTGAGCCGCGGCACCAGCCAGACTATGCGGTTCTTAATGAAGGTTTCAACTAATGCATCCTAAAAAGCTGGCCCTATCCTAAAATGATGGTCCAAGACCTTAGGTTCCCTGCCACACATGTGGAAGGCCTATGTTGAGTTCTGGGCTCCCACCTTCCTCTTGCCCTGGCCCACTTTTTCACAGGTATCTGGGAAGTGAAACAGTTGCTGGAAAAGATCTCTCTACTTCTCTCTCTCTATATATATATAATATGTAATATATAACATATAATATATATGTGAATATATACATATAACATATATGTATATATACATATATATTATATATATAGTTCTGCATTTCAAGTAGATGAAAATTAAGAACTTTTTTTTAAAAACAAATAACTTCCTAAACTTAAAAACTCTACTTACTACTTATTGGAATTCTTTATTTAGTGGAGAGTTAAGCTTGTAAACATAAAAAAACTGAAGTGTGACATTGTAAAAATTAAAAGAAACATAAGAAAAGCAGAAAGAGGATAGAGTGGGAAGTATCATTACTCTTGAAACTGCATATATGAGGAGTCAGAGCTGTGGTGTAGAGGATAAACCGACTGCCTGCCAGCATCCCATATGGGTGCCAGTTTGTATCCTGGCTGCTCTACTTCCAGTCCAGCTCTCTGCTATGGCCTGGGAAAGTAGTAGAAGATGGACCAAGTCCTTGGGCCCCTGCACCTGTGTGGGAGACCCCGAAAAAGCTTCTGGCTCCTGGCTTCAGATCAGCACAGCTCCAGCCATTGTGGCCAACTGGGGAGTGAACCAGCAGATGGAAGACCTCTCTCTCTCTCTCTCTCTCTCTCTCTCTCTCTGTCTCTCCTTCTCTCTGTGTGTAATTCTTTCAAATAAATCAATCTTTTAAAAAAACTGTATATATGAAATACATGAAATATGTTCCCTTTTTAGAAATATAAATAAATAAAAAGAAGATAGCCAAACCAGACTCTCCAAAGTGGATGTAGAAAAAGAGAGAGAGAGAGAGAGAGAGAGAGAGAGAGAGAAAAGATGGGAGGGAGGGAGAGTGAGAGAGAAAGAAAGAAATTGCAAAAGACTCACTCAAAGATATGTAGACTGTACATGTGCGGATGAATTTCTGGGGTTTCTATTTTATTCCAATGGTCTACATGTCTATTTCTGTGCCACTTTTATGTTGTTTTGATTATAAAAGCTCTGTAGTATGCCTGGAAATCTGTTATTGTGATGCTTCCCACTTAGTTTTTGTTGTTTAGTATTGCTTTACCTATTCAGTCTCTTTTATTTCCATATGAATTTTAACATCTCAGATTTTATAAAATTTCAAGCTTTTTATTGGGAAAAACATAAGAATTAAAGAAAAAAGTAATAGCAGATTAGAAAAATTACATTAGAAAAATGTGGTAAAAGATTATATAAATGCATTAATTTATTATTTTAGCAAGATAGAATATTCTCACATTTATAATTGGTTGATTAATTATTTTCTAATCATGACATGTGTCCAAGTCATAACAACTAAACTTCCTAAACCTATTACTGTCATGAAGTTTCCTTCCTACAGGAGTAACAATTTCACCATTCTGCTACTCTAATTTCTGTCACTACCATATACATATACCATTTATACTCAACATTTATGTAATAACTTTATTCAGACCAAGTCGGTTTCACTTAAATAAAATTACCTTTGTTCTAATTAATAATTCTTATAAAATCAGAAGTTTTACATAAGAGAAATTTTAAATAGGTGGTTATTTTAAAACCCTAATCTATCTACCATTGAAAAATCACCTATACTGTCATGAATAATTTTATAGTGTCAATTTAGCTGGGCTATGATATCTAGTTGTTTTGTCAAATATCAACTATTCTGCATGTTGCTGTGAAGGTAGATTTAAGATTACAGTTTGTTTTCCTTTTTTAATGGTTTCATATTTTTGAATTTTTATTTTTATTAACATACAAAGAATAGATTTCATATATTTCATAAATAAAATTCTAAGAAGATAATCATACTTTCCACCATTCCTTCCTTCCTCAAACAATACCCCTTATTTTCTTTTTTCTCCTTAAATTTGTGCAATATCATACTTTAAATTTACTTTTTAAAATTTTTTTAATATTTTTGACAGGCAGAATTAGACAGTGAGAGAGACAGAGACAGAGAGAAAGGTCTTCCTTTCCATTGGTTCATCCCCCAAATGGCTGCTACGGCCAGTGCGCTGCACCGAGCCAAAGCTAGGAGCCAGGTGCTTCCTCCTGGTCTCCCATGACGGTGCAGGGCCCAAGCACATGGGCCATCCTCCACTGCAGAGAGGAGGGGAGATGCCCGGGCCACAACAGAGAGCTGGACTGGAAGAAGAGCAACCGGGACAGAACCAGCACCCCAATTGGGACTAGAACCCAGGGTGCTGGCGCCACAGGCAGACAATTAGTCAAGTGAGCTGCAGCACCAGCCAAATTTACTTTAGAATACAGTCTTCCATAATGTTGTACTAATTTACATTCACAGCAACAATTTATTGGGTACTTTCTTCTCCACATCTTAAATAGCATTTATTATTTTTTGCTGCAAACTTCTCCCATTCTGCTGCTTGTCTTTTTACTTTGTTGAGTGTTTCCTTCCCTGTGCAGAAGCTTCTTAATGTAATCCCACTTGCCTATTTTTGCTGGGTACAGTATTCTGGGCTGATAATTTTTTCTTTAAGGACTTGGCCTATATCTTTATTCTCTCCTATCCTGTAGGATTTCTGATGAGAAAACTGCTGTCAGTATAATTGGAGATGCTTTAAAGGTAACCAGGCATTTCTCTATTGCAATTTTAGGATCTTCAATTTATGTTTTACTTTTGAAAATTTGACTATAATGTGTCATGGTGAAGATCTTTTCTGATTATGTCTATTTGGGACTCTATGTGATTTGCGTACTTGGATGTCCATATCTTTGTCAAAATTAGGGAACTTTTTTACTAATATTTCACAGAATTGATTTTCTTTTTTTAAAAGATTTTATTTATTTATTTGACAGGTAGAGTTACAGACACTGAGAGAGAGACAAAGAGAAAGGTCTTCCTTTCATTGGTTCACTCCCCAAATGGCCACAATGGCCAGAGCTATGCTGATCCAAAGCCAGAAGAAGCCAGGTGCTTCTTCCTGGTCTCCCACATGGGTGCAGGGGCCCAAGTACTTGGGCTGTCTTCCACTGCCTTCCCAGGCCACAGCAGAGAGCTGGACTGGAAGAGGAGCAACCAGGACTAGAATTGGTGCCCAAATGGAATGCCAATGCCGCAGGCAGAGGATTAATCTAGTGCGCCACAGCGCCAACCCCTGAATTGTTTTTTTAAGCCATTCTGTTTCCCCATACCTTCAGAAACTTTGAAGATTTGTATATTTTATCATTTGATCATATCCCATAGATAACACTGTTTTCAGATTTTCTAATTTTCTTTTCTTTGTCTGAATGAGATATTTCTAAAGATGTGCCTCACTGAATCTATTGTTTAGGCTTTCCACTATATTTTTATTTGACATATTGAATCCTTCATTTCTAATATTTCAGTTTGATTTTTCTTTAATATTTCTATTTGCCATAAAAATTTCTCATCTATGTCATTCACAGATTTCTTTAACTCATGTAATT